AGGAATGGGAAAGAGAGATTGAACAGGCAATTTGAAGACATTTGATGTATTGCTGCAAAACAAATCACTTTTTACCTTGTCTGACTATGTGAAATTTGCTGTAGGTTGCTAAATCAGTCCATGAACTAGCTCAAATCATGAAGGATCTCTCTGTCCTTGTGATAGACCAGGTGAATGTCCCTCCCTTGTATAAGATGGATTTATAGAATGAAAGTGACGTGATTCAGGTAACTTATATTCCTGCAGGGAACAATTGTGGATAGAATTGACTACAACATTCAGAGTGTTGCTACATCCGTTGATGAGGGCTTAAAGCAGTTGCAAAAGGTTTTGTTTTCTCTCATGCTCTTGCTTACTTGCATAGAGACTGTGCTTAGTCTTTACGATTGCAAATTGGAGCATCCTTTTTGATTTTTTTATCTGCTGTTAGCCTGTTATAAACATCTTAAACATGTACTAATGTACTACAGGCAGAGAGAACGCAGAAAAAAGGAGGGATGGTTATGTGTGCAACATCGCTTGTTATAATGTGCTTTATCATGTTAGTTCTCTTGATACTCAAGGAGATCCTCTTCTAGTCATATCACTGACCACTTTACCCGCCAGCATCATGTTAATTCCTCCGTTCAATGGGAATCAAATTGCATTCTGTTTAAAGACAAGTATCATTGGCACTATGATAATGCACTTTAGGCATGGGAATTTGTTTTTGAAGAGCGTTGGATTTACATGATTGGCTCCTTCTGAAGAGGCCAATAGGGGATGACACTGTACAGTACCGCTTCGTACAAACATAAATATTAGTTTTAACAATTCCTATAAAGAGAAATTTTCAGCAAGTTCATCTCCAATGGCCAATCTTTTTAGGAAAAAGAAAGTATTGCTAGATGGACACAATTTCTTGTTCAAGGATAGATCCTATATAAGAAAAAGTAGAAAGGCAACTTGTTGGATACATCCAAGAGTCATCGAACATGTTGATATATTGTCGACTGTTTTTTTCCCCCCATTTTATATGCTTCATGCTTGTTTTCTACCCTTGTTTATATTCCGCTAGGAAAAAAAAATCAAAATTGTATAGTGATTCAGGCTTATTTTCAGCTAGCGTTGGTGAGGTTTGTCATTTATCGGAGGATCTTACTGCAAAAAGTGGGACATTGATTTTATTCATGGTGCAGTTTTTCTGTTTTTGTCCTTTCACCCTCTTTCCACCCTTGGTCCCACGCGCTTTGCAAATAGATCTGCCATAACTAAATATTAATCTCAAAATATAGCAAGTATTAAATGTTTGTGAAATTCATCTTTTATTTGAACTAGAAATCAAATGACGCGCTTTGTAGGGATGATTGTGGGTTTCTGGCTTATATTTGTTTTCTTTTATTTCTTTTATGCTAATGTATATTTTTAAAAAATTTAATAGCATTAATTACTATGATAAAATGTTTTTCTTTAACAAAATTATCTTTATTATAGAGTTAGAATGTGAATGTAAATTTATTCAAACATGTTTAACTTCAATATATTATTAGCGTAATTTTTTATATTATTAAAGTGATTATTAAAATATTCATCAATTTTTACTCATGTCAATTGATGTTTGTATGATAAATGTGAAAAAAATTATATTATCATTGTGTTTTAATTAGATTATTTAAACATTAAGATGACATAATAATGAATTATAAATTTTCTTGATTTTTTAAAGTGATAAATATTTTTAGATAAATTAAAAATATTTAAAGAGACATATAATACTTGTAGTAAAAAATTTTATTGAAATTTGGCTATGTTGCTGTAATTTTTAAACTTATCCCGTAGGTCAATTTTGCTTTGATGCTTTTGTTTTAGTTGATTTTGGTGATTTAGAATATATATATATATATATATATAATTAAAATTTAAATAAATAGATAATTTTAAATATATAAGTTATATTTAGATTTATGATAAATAATTTATATTTTTTTTGTTTGTCCCTGGAGTATCCAGGGCCGATAGCAGTGACTAATCTCCTCGCTACGAGGGAGGCACCTCGAAGGGTAGGATAGCTGACCCACAAGATTTAAGCGGCTGCATACACAAGGCAGGATTCGAACCCCTGACCTTGTTTAAGCGTGGATCAACCCCTACCGCTGAATCACACGCTTGGGGTTAATTTATATTTTAGTAAAATGATATTTTTATTTATTGGATAATTTATTTTTAAAATATTTAAATTTGAATAATAAATAATTATAATAAATAAAAAAATTAAATATGAAATTAAAATAATTCTTAAAAGGATAATTTTTAAAAATATTAACACACGAAATCATTATTTGTATTTTAGATATAGAATGTGCTTAAATCACTTCAACTTTGACACTTTTACTCAATTTTGGTAAGAAAGCTTTCAAGGGAGAAGAGATATTATATATTTCTTCTCTTTTGGTTGGTATGCAACAATAACATAAAGGAAAAAAAAAAGTAGCTGTAAAAAAAATAAGTGAGCCCATATGATAAAACTTCATTTGATTATGTGGGTAGAAAAGTGGGAGGATAATGTAACTTTTTTGTATAAAAACATCAAAATTTTCTGTCTAAATATGCTCTGTTTTATGCATATTTTTCCTAACAAAAAAGTGAAAAAGTGAATACACTTGCGGATTATTTTCTTATCGTTTTCCTAACTTAAAAGTGAAAAAACTTCTTTACTTTCTATTTTCAATCCTAAAAAATTTATAAAATGTGTTTTTTTACTTTTTTTTTCCCATTTGGTTAAACTATATGTTATCCTCATTTTAAATTTCGGTACTTACATGAGAAAAGTTTTCAAGTTTTTTTTTAGAGTTTTAAAATTTTAATTCCTACACAAGCATAAAAGATTAAAACTTAAAAGTTTTGGCCTCCATTACTAAAACTAATAAAATAAAATAAAACTTCATCGCCAAAATTTATCCATGAACTAAATTTACATTTTTGAGTTTGTCTCGTAAGAATTAATTTTTACTATAGTGACTAAGTGAATAATTTAACTTTTTAATTTTCTATCATTATCTAGTGGTTAAGTGTGAGAGTTGGTGGCAATTGAGTTTATAAAGTTTGATTCAAATATATGCAAGGTAAACAAATGACTTAATTTTACTCTCCACCTTCAAACTATCGTGATCGTGTTTTCATTTTCAATTGCATAGTTAGGTCTTAAATTTTTTCTCCATCCAACAATTGAGTTTTTCATTGATGTGAGATAATTTTTTAACAAAATTTGCGCTGTCAAAAAAAAAAAAAACAAGATGCTAATGTGACTTGTTAGAGATGATATCACACTAACTCACATGCTGACATGAGCATCTAACACGGATCACTGACATGAAAAGCAAAAATATTAGTGATTAACACCCATAAAAACTTATTTTTATGTGTGATCTCTCTTTTTAATTTTTATATAATATGAAAATAGATATCAAACTTAGAGCCAACATAAATGAAAATATCTCTTAATTTTTATAATATTTACTTTATAAAATATTTTATTTATTATTATGATTGCAAGTTATTATGTGTGACTTTTATATTATGTTTATTTTCATTCTCACAATATTATTTTTCTATTGTTTTAAATTTTAGTCCATTATATTATATATATATATATATATATATATATATATATATATGTGTGTGTGTGTGTGTGATTTTCACATAATAAATACTAATGTATATTTTTATTATTAAGATAAATATGCTTATGATATTTTCAGTATTTGTTATAAAATTATTTTACTATCATTAAGATATAATTATTTTTCCATTCTAAATAATTTGTGGCTTAAAATTATCTTAATTTTAACAAATATACTATATTAGGTATTTTTTTTTATAATTACATATGTAAAATTATATAATCTTATTTATTTTTTATTTATAATTTTCCTTTGTATAATTATGTTGTGAAAATTATCCTATTTATTATAGCATTAATAAGAGATGAATATATATCATATTTTAATATTATATTATTAATTGATAACTGTTTTAAATAGGTATTATACAATATTATGTATAAGGTCCACTTTTTTGAGTGAAATTGACTTCACATTAAAAAAGTCACCAGATTTATATATATCTTAAATTAGAAAGCGAAAAACAAAGCAACCGGAAGGAAAAGGAAAACAAAATCAGCGGTCCAGATCCATGATATCCGTCATGAAGTAAATCAGCGGTTTAGATCTAGTGACCGTTGCATTTAAGTCTCAAAATGTGGACGTTTTTTCACTTTCAACTTTCAAATTCGACCGTTGCTCCTATCAACAACACTACTTCTACTTCAAACTTCAAACTTGAAACTCTCACTTCCTTCACTTCACATTCACAATTCGCTCTTTCTATTATTATTATGGCCCATTAGCGATTTCTGTTCTCTCACCGTTATTTCTTCACACCTTCTCATTCCACATCCTTTTTTAGCAACATGGTCAAAACGGCGTCGTCCACGTCCCCTTCTTCCTCTCCGGTGACCATAACGGTGTCGTCCGGAGGCAGACGCCGGAGCATGGGGCTGACCAGTCCCGTTGCACGCGCCTCCGTCTCCAACAACCCCAATTCTCCTCTCAGAGCTTCCGCTGCCGGCGGAAGGAGGCTCTCCGGCGGCGGCGTCGAGGAAACTAGCTCCGACTACGTGACGTACACCGTTCAAATTCCTCCGACGCCGGACCGGAAGCCGATGACAGCATCAGAGGACGGAAAGAGCAGCAGGAGTTTCATTTCCGGCACAATCTTCACCGGAGGGTTCAACTCCGTGACGCGCGGCCACGTCATGGAGTGCTCGATGGAGGGCGAGGTGCAGGCGAAAACGGCGTCGGTTTGCGGAATGAGAGGATGCGACGAGGAAGCGATGAAGGGAAGGTTGTTGGGTGGACCCTGCGAGTGCGGGTTTAGGGTTTGCAGGGACTGTTACCTGGAGTGTAGTGGAAAGTGTCCTGGGTGCAAGGAGCCTTATAAGTATGTGAGCGATGATGAGGAAGAGGAAGAGGAAGAGGAAGAGGAGGGTTCTGAGGGTGAGGATCAGCCTCTGCCTCTGCCTTCCATGGCGGAGTTCAAGTTGGACAAGAGGCTTTCCCTTGTCAAGTCCTTCAAAGCGCAGAACCATCCTCCTGACTTTGACCACACAAGGTGGCTATTTGAGACCAAAGGGACTTATGGGTATGGAAACGCTGTGTGGCCTAAAGATGGCTATGGTGCTAATGGGTTTGAACCCCCTCCGGAGTTCGGAGAGAAAGCTAGGAGACCCTTGACCCGCAAGGTTGGAGTTTCAGCTGCTATTATCAGTCCTTATAGGTCAGTTGCTCCAAATTCAGACCTTTCACTTTTTTTTACTTTCACTTATTACTATATTTAGTTAGGATTTAACTGTGATACACCGAATTTGTTATATAACTTTACATTATCATTTAATCATGATTTATATAGATAATAAATTTGTTAAATTATAATTACCTTAAAAGCCATACAAGTATGTACTGACTTATTATTAATATTTAGTTATTGCTTACTAGCCATTTGCAAAAGTAGATTCTGATGATTCTAATGTCTTTGTTTAGGTTGCTTATTCTGCTGCGTCTTGCTTCCTTGGGACTATTTCTCACGTGGAGAATTAGACACCCGAACCATGAAGCGATTTGGCTGTGGGCGATGTCCATAACATGTGAGCTATGGTTTGCATTTTCGTGGCTTCTTGATCAGCTTCCTAAGCTCTGTCCTGTGAACAGAGTCACTGATCTGTCTGTTCTGAAAGAG